TGCTCTATAATTCCCAGGTTTTTCTTTGCAGCCCTTCTTGAATAAAGGCACAACATTCACTACCCTCCAGTCTTCCAGGACCTCACCCATGGCTAACAACAATTGAAATCTATCAGCCAGGACTCCCGCAATTTCTTCTCTAGCCTCTTGCAAGGTTCTTGCATACGTACGATCAGGATCAGGAGATTTATCCACCTTCATATTCTAATACTTCCAACAGCTCCTGTGATGTGGACTGCCGCCAAGATATCGCCACTAACTTCCCCAAGTTCCCAACTCTTCATATCTTTCTCCATTGTAAACAAATTGCAGAAGCTATTTGTAAAATGTAATGATGATGTTCAGATGGGACAACCACACAAGAGTATGCTCTCCCTTCATCATTGGCTGCTATTTAAGGTGCTCTCCATTTTCTTATTAACACTTCTCCCAACAACACATGTTAAGCTGACTGGCAGAGAGTTCCCTGTGTTATTTTCTCCTTGTAGAGGAAGGAGAACAGAAATATTAAAAACGTTCTAACAAACGGGTGATACAGACACATTGTGTGCACACATTTTGCCTGGAGTCTGAAGGAGAGAGGGAGGCTAACTCTTACACAGATTCTTTTGAGAAACAGGTACAGCCAGAGCTATGCATTTAGCAATTACCGTCCCTACGGTTGAGAGAATTCTGGGAATTCAAGATTCAAGACAGTGTAACATCGATGGTAGGAAAGTTAATAGAATCTCTACTGAAGGCACAAGTAGAAGGAGAAATAGGCAGAAAAAGAGTTAAACATGAACAGTCAGCATAGATTTCACAGATAAAGCCTTAAAGATTATTGAGTTATTTAATGAGACAGCGGACAGTGGAAATGAGGAAAATACAAGATGTAATTGCTCAATTTCAAACAGAGCTTTCATCAGGGTAACAGCTAATAGATTAATAAATTCAATCTGAGCACAAGCAGTCAGGGGATAAGTGACGGAATGGATTAATCATGGCTTGAAGACAGGAAGCAAAGACTAGGAATGATTCAGAGGGACAGAATCTGGGAATGCTGCTCTGCAGAGATAAGTGCTGGTACCACTATCTTCCCAAGGGTCATTAGCAAGGTACACCTCCTGTAATTCTTTATCCTGAGGGGATCACTTACTGGCAAGGTTGGCACTTACTCACATCCCTGAAACTAGCTTTCAATTTCAGATTGATGAATTTAATATAAATTCCACACACTACCATGGTGGGATTTGAACCTGTGTCTCCAGATCTGGTCCTCTGGATCACTGATCCACTAACAATACCAGGACACCACCACCTCAACTGATAAATGAGAATGAAAAGAGAAACTGTCACCACTGACACTCAGAGTCATAGAGTTATACAGCACGGAAACAGACCTTTCGGCCCAACTCATCCATGCTGGCTAGGTATCTTAAATTAATCTAGTCCCATTTGCCAGCATTTGGCTCATATCCCTCTAAACCCTTCCTATTCATGTACCCCTTCACCACTTCTTCTTGCAGTTCATTCCATACACGCACCACCCTTTGCGTGAAAACATTGCACCTTAGGAACTTTTAAACCTTTCCACTCTCACCTTAAACCTCTGCCCCTCTAGTTTTCGACTTGCCCACCCCAGGGAAAAGACCTTGTCTATTTACCCTATCTGTGCCCCTCATGATTTTATAAATCGCTATAAGGTCACCCTTCAGCCTCCGATGCTCCAAATATGATACCACTGTTTAAAAAAGGAGGTAGACAAAAGATGGGGAATTATAGGCTGGTTAGCTTAACTTCTGTAGTAGGGAAAATGCTTCAATCTGTCATCAAGGAAGAAATAGCAAGACATCTAGGTAGAAATTGTCCCATTGGGTAGACATAGCGTGGCTTCATGAAGGGCAAGTCATGATTGACTAATTTGCTAGAATTCTATGAAGACATTATGAGCGCAGTGGACCACAGGGACCCAGTAGATGTGGTGTGTCTGGATTTCCAAGAGGCATTTGACAAAGTGCTGCACAAAATGCTGTTGCACAAGATAAAGGTGCACAGTGTTACAGGCAATGTATTAGCATGGACTGAGGATTGACTAACTAACAGGAAGCAAAGAGTGGGGATAAATGAGTGCTTTTCTGGTTGGCAAACTGTGTCTAGTGGTGTGCCTCAGAGATCAGTGGTGGGACTGCAATTGTTTACAATTTACATAGATGATTTGGAGTTGGGGACTAAGTATGGTGTGTCAAAGTTTGCAGATGACACTAAGGTGAGTGGTAGAGCAAAGTGTGCAGAAGACACAAAGTCTGCAGAGGGATATAGATAGTCTAAGGGAGTGGGCAAAGGTCTGGCAGATGGAGTACAATGTTGATAAGTGTGAGGTCATCCATTTTGGTCGGAATAACAGCAAAAAGGACTATTATTTGAATGGTAAAAAACTGCAGCACGCTGCTGTGCAGAGGGACCTGGGTGTTCTTGTGCATGAATTGCAGAAGGTTGGTTTGCAGGTGCAGCAGGTAACTGTTATGAAGTTGTGTAGAGTAATCATGAATTACCTAGAATATAGAACAGTACAGCACTGTACAGGTCCTTCGGCCTATGATGTTGTGCCGACCTATTATCCTACTCTAAGATCAAACTACCCTGCATACCCTACATTTCACTATCCTCCATGTGCCTATCCAAGAGTCACTTAGATGTCCCTAATGTATCTGACTCCACTACCACCACCGGCAGCGCATTCCATGCACCCACTACTCTCTGTGTAAAGAGACCTACCTCTAACATCTCCCCTATACCTTTCTCCAATCACCTCAAAATTATAAAAACCAAAAGAACTGCGGATGCTGTAAATCAGGAACAAAAACAAAGTTTCTGAGGAAGGGTCACCAGACCCAAAATGTTAACTCTGTTTTCTCCTCCACAGATGCTGCCAGACCTGCTGAGCTTTTCCAGCAACTTTGTTTTTGACCCTTAAAATTATGCCTCCTCGTAATAGTCAATTCCGCCTTGGGAAAAGGTCTCTGATTATCCACTCTATCTATGCCTCTCATCATTTTGTAAACCTCTATCAAGTCACCTCTCATCCTTCTTCACTCCAATGAGAAAAGGCCTAGCTCCATCAACCATTCCTCATAAGACCTGCCCTCCAGTCCAGGCAGCATCCTGGTAAATCTCCTCTGCACCCTCTCTAAAACTTCCACATCTTTCCTATAATGAGGCTACCAGAACTGAACACAATATTCCAGGTGCGGTCTAACCAGGGTTTTATAGAGCTGCAGCATAACCTCGTGGCTCTTAAACTCAATTCCCCTGCCAATGAAAGCCAACACACCATATGCCTTCTTTACAACCCTATCAACTTGGGTGGCAACTTTGAGGGATCTATGGACATGGACCCCAAGATCCCTCTGTTCCTCCACACTGCCAAGAATCCTGACATTAACCCTGTATTCTGCATTCAAATTCAACCTTCCAAAATGAATCACTTCACACTTTTCTGGATTGAATTCCATCTGCCACTTCTTTGCCCAGCTCTGCATCCTGTCAATGTCCCGTTGCAACCTACAACAATCCTCCACGCTGTCCACAACTCCACCAACCTTCGTGTCATCGGCAAACTTACTAACCCACCCTTCCACTTCCTCATCCAAGTCATTTATAAAGATCACAAAGAGCAGAGGCCCCAGAACAGATCCCTGTGGAACACCACTGGTCACCGAGCTCCAGGCTGATTGGAAGGCAGGATGCTAGAATTTGTTTGGAAAAGAATGATAAAGGGAGAAGAATTGTCCTTCGTTGCTAGAGGAGTGGAGTTTAAAAGCCGGGAGGTTATGCTGCAGCTGTATAGGGTGTTGGTGAGGACACGCCTGGAGTACTGCGTACAGTTTTGGCCTTCTTATTTGAGAAGGGATGTACTGGCACTGGAGGGGGTGCAGAGGAGGTTCACTAGGTTGATTGCGGAGTTGAGAGGGTTACCATATGAGGAGAGACTGATAAGACTGAGATTATATTCATTGGACAAAAACAGAGTTGCTGGAAAAGTTCAGTAGGTCTGACAGGATCTGTGAAGAAAAAACAGAGTTAGTGTTTCGGGTCCGGTGACCCTTCCTCAGAACTGATGGTGGCTGGGAAAATGGTTTATATGCAGAAAATAGGGAGGGGGAGGGGGTAGGGAGTAAACGATAGAATAGAGCCCAAAGAGAGAGAAGTGCAGTTGGATAGACAAAGGAGTTGATAACAATCGGGCTGGGAGGGTGAATAGTTGTTAATGGGGACTGTTAGTGACTAACAACAGGGGGTGTGTAATGGTAGACTCTCAGCCAGATCATTATCAACTCCTTTGCCTGGGAAGGGAGTTGAAGTGGGAAACCTCACAATCTTTAAAAAGTACTTGGGCGCGCAATTGAAGTGTCAAAACGTTCAAGGCTACGGGCCTAGTGTGGGAAAGTGGGATGTGTGTGCGTGGCAGTATATTTCTGGTGGTACAGAATCGATGGACTGAAAGGTCTGTTCTGTACTGTCTGCGTGTATGATTATAAAGAAAGTAGATGTAGTTGGGAACAGTATCGTGAGGGGGACTGACACCATTCCTTGCAGTAGGACAAAGAGACCAGACAGCCATGTGGTTTACACGGTGTCAGGGTTCAGGACATTTGCTAAGGCCTGGAGAGGCCCAGGGTGGGAATAGCTGTCCTGGTCCATGTGGATACCACCAACATTGGGAAAACAAGAAAAGAAGTGAGGAGTCAGTGCTGAGGGAGC